TCGGTTCTTAATTGCCTGAAATTATAATATAACTTATAATTATAATCTTACATAAAATTTATTCTGGTCTTAAATTCCTAGTATAAAATTTTTGGACATTACAGGATTTTTCCATAAGATTTCGGACTCTCAGTGACGTAATTCGCATCATGTCGTGTCTTGTTGTCGATAATGACTGAAAAATTCCCTAGGGAATCGAAGTTTGCTTCTCAAATTTTTTTGAAAACTTGAAAAATTTCTCATATGTTCCGGAACTCCATGAATACCTCCCCCCCCTTGCCTGCCCTGAAAGACGTATCCACATCAAAACGTCTCACAATTACAAAGAAGTTGTGGGCTCACAATTACATAGAAGTTGAGGATTCCTTAATCACGAGCTCAAAAATTTATAAAGTCAACACATGTGTGCAAATTCATCTTTAGTTCACCAATTGAGATTATTGACACTAGAAAATGATACTGCAATACGAATCCATCAACTTCTTAAACTGGATTCGAGTAGACAATATTCCACACACCAAAATTCTGTTGTATTTGTGCTCATTGTAATTTTTCTGTGAGTTTACAGCCGATTCTAGTGGGAGATAATAACTTTTCTGCACTTCTCCTGAACTGGAATGTTCAATAGGGAATGTTCGATAAGGACAATAATAAGATTCCATTTCATCTAAACAATAGATTCTGTTGGAATATTTCTTAGGTAAATTCCTCGGTTTAAATTTTCTGTTTTTCTATTTGTTGTGTTAGTGAAGTTGGAATCCTCAAGGAGTTATAGGGAATGTCTCAATAGAAAAAGTTGTTGAAATACAAGGTTAAAATTGAACTGCTTTGTATCATTTTTTCCTATAGAATTATTCTTATACGACATTTCATGCAACGCGCAGTAAAGCTGTGGGATTGTTCAAGGAAATCGCCCAAAACTGTTTTTTTTTTATAGTCGAAGTTCATGAGAAATCCAACAAACTTTATATCCATGGTGGTAAGAGAAAAGTCTTTGACATTTCCCGGTCGGCTAGACACCCTGGATCAACTGACACCATCAACTGACAGCCTATCAATTGACTTCAGCAGGTATTCCAAAGAGAGGGGAGAGAAAAGTTCCACGCGTGTTGGTGCTTTCACGAAAACTGCGTTAACGGATGCAATTAAACCATTGACATCCTCGTATTCTTCTTGTATTTCACATACGACTCTTTGCAATGCGTGATTGATACAAGTCACATGTACCATTTTCAAATAATTCTGTCGACGCAGTGTCCCAGCAAGCCTCATATACCACGCCGCATCACTTATGAATATCAGGACATGTTCATGGTGGATTCCACCTGGCCAGAGTATGCTCAGTGACTCTTCGAAGAAGTCTGATATTGTTTGGGCATTTGTTGCTGTCAGTACTTGACAATTGATAATTCGAGGTTTTCCGGGTCGATCTTCACGATCGCGATATTTCGTTCCTGATGATCTGTTGTCTCGTCCACCGAAATCCAAATGGGTCCATCTTTAATCTCTTCCCGGATTTTGCGGATCGTCTCTTCATACGTAATATGGACATATCTCTTGCGTAGTTTCGAAGGGTCAGGCATTCTTCTCACCACATATTTCTTCATGAAGGTCTTGAAGAGAAAGAATCGAATCCATGAATCAGATAATCGTAGGAGATTATTTCGGTTGCAATTTTGAGATAATGATGATCATGATAATTAGAATGAATCTGGTATTTCCCTCCAACTTCCCTGCATATGAACAAGCATGTCAAGCTTCGGAGTTGAAATCCCAAGCGCTTGAACGAGGCACTTTTCTAACCAGTGGAATTTGACATTTTCGTTTTGATGAAGCTTTTAATCGTCTGGGTCATTAGAATGAGTATCCTGAATCGCAAGAATTCACGAAGAGATTGTGTTCTTTCTATCTACTGAGTGTAGTGATGCTGCAAGAGCGCAAGAGGAACAAGACAAGACAAGAATTCTGCTGCAAGAGGCAAGACGAGATATAAATTTTTCTCTCGCTAAGATGGGCAAGACAAGACAAGAGGAAAGTTCACAAGAGGCAAGAGGAAATAAGAGACATAGAACAAGGAAAGCAATAATTGATCAAAAATTTCACGAGAATCAAACGTCACGAGGGTTATTTATTCCATCGTGATCTTCGTGACGTTAGACCCTCTCTGAAATTTGACGATTCCCTTGTAACTCTGGAAACGTTTGGTCCTCGTGAAATTTGACCATCCTCCAGTGACTCCCGTTATACGTTTGGCTCCAGTAAAAATTTAACCTTTTTCCAGTCATCCCTGTGACGTTTGACCCTCGTGACCATTGATCCTTGCGGAATTTGACCATCCGCTTGTGACCGTTGTGGGATGTAACTATCCCCTCGTGACTTTCCTGTCGATAGCCACGTTCGGAAAATTACTAATTAATTGGTCGTTTTAAAAAACCATCTATAATGACCATCTCATCATTACAGAAACCATCTATAATATATTAGGAATTTGATCATTCATCGACCATAAAAATATCAGAGATTAGCGCAAAATCGAGCAGCAAAACAAAGTGGCGGGGATTTTTATCTAATTTTCCGACAATGGCTCCGTCGAATTGATGAGATTCATGAAATTTATTCAACTGACGGAGTTAAAACTAAAATTGTCGAGATGCACAAGAGAACGCAAGACAAGACAAGAATTTTTTTTCTCTTGCTCATATCCAACAAGACAAGAGACAAATTTTCTATTGGCAATTGGAACAACTCAAGAAAACAAAGAAGCTCTAAGATCGTAAGACAAGCCAAGAGATATGTAACTCTTATCTTGTCTCCTGTCTTTCCGCATCACTACCCAGGAGATGGATTGATTCCCTCCATGTTGGTAGTAATTTCAACCCACCAACTCTCGTTCACTATTCAGAAATAGAATAGAAAAAATGCATAAAATGCATACACTGACATACGCTTATACGGGATGGAATTTTTTAAAAGTTGGGACAATTTTTTGGGATGTCAGGGCAATTTTCGGTGCTTTTTGTTGGCTTCTTCGCTCTCCTTATGTCTAGAAGCCATGCAACAGGATAATATTCTCATGAAAATATTGTTTTCCTCCCATAATATGAATAATACCAACATTTTTTAAATTGAAATTTTTTATTCATCATTTTTTTTCAGTTTTTCCATTTTGCTTCCGAATAGAAGCATTGAAATCCTTCGATTTTTCGAATCGCTAATTTTGCTTGTAAACGATGTAGAATGGTCTGAAACGTAAAAATACGAAGTTTGACCACCATGTGTGTATGAGCGGGTGTCCACCTGGTGGTCAACTTTTAGAAAATTGAAGGAATAAAGGACTAAAATAATTGAAAAAATCTGGAATTTTGTTAGATTAGAGGTATTTATGAGGACTAACTTTGTGCTAAAGTTCAGCTCAATCAGTCTAGCCGTTTTTGAGAAATCGCCATTTGTTTATAAATCGTTTTTTGCAAATATCTCAAAAACTATCCAACTGATTCCAATTTTTCTTTCTTCAAAATACTCGTCTCATGGTCTCCTATCTCAATCAATAAAAATATGTATACCCGTTCATACAAAGTTTCCGAGATATTTCCATTTTTCGGGTTTTCGCTCGAAACGCTTGTTAACACTCTAACTTCCGAAAAAATCAATATATTAACTTGAAATTTGGCATGAAGTTCCCTCTTGGCACTCAAATGTTTCGTATGGAAGATGAGCTGAATCGGATCAATAGTTTTGGAGATATTTAACTTTATATCTAAATCTATTTTCTTGAATATCTTGAAAAATACGCAACGGTTTTCAATTTCCCTTTCTTCAAAATACTCGACTCGATGTCTCCTATCTCAATAGATAAAAATATGTATAGCCGTTCATACAAAGTTTCCGAGATATTTCCATTTTTCAGTTTTTCGCTTAAACCACTTGTTAACACTGTAACTTCCGAAAAAATCAATATATTAACTTCAAATTTGGCATTAATTTTCCGCTTGGCACTCAAATGTTCCGTATTGAAGATAAGCGAAATCGGATGGATAGTTTAGGAGATATTTAATTTTATATCTAAATCTATTTTCTTAAATATCTCAAAAACTACTCAACCGATTCAGCTCATCATCATCTATCTGATCAATTTTTTTTGCCAATCTAGGTTTTCATCATACCGTTAACAAACGCGATACAGTGCTTCGGAAAGAGTTTGGATGGGGGTAAGGAAGGGATATTGAAAAGGAAAACAAATTTTATCATGCTGAAATCATTCGGAAGCTGACTACCAATGGAAATGGTAGAAATGAAAGAAGAAAAAAAGAATTTTAACACATAAATTAACAGTCAGATGGCTTCTACGAAAAAGGCTGAACCCCTGCTTGTTTTATTTTCCTTCAGTTGCCCGGGTTGACCAGATTTTGCCTAGTCTTTCGAGTCAGTATAGTTTTTCCCATATCACCTTTCTTTTTTATGTCTATTTTCAGAGTCTTTCGTTAGGTAAGTTATCAATGTTAACATAAATCCCATAATTGCCATAAATCATATAGAACCCAGTGTATGAGAAAAAAATCGTTTATCTATTCCCGCCGAGGCTAGTGCGAATCATTTCTTCCCAACATCAAAGAAGTGAGTTTCATACATTCTACACGGAGAAAAAAATTCCAGAATTATTCAGGACAAATTCACTGAAAAATTACCGTGCTGCATGGTAAAGTGGGTTCAATTGTCTAGCACCAGAAAAATTACCGTGCTGCCCCAGAAAAATTGTGGTGTTGCGCAAGGATGTGGGAAATATGACCTGACACGTCAGTGACTTGTCACATGACCGGTCAGTCACGGTCACTGACCAACGAATTCATGACAATTGTCACCTGACGAAAATGTGACGATTTTACCCTATGACGGTCAAATCACATCTAGGTAGTGGCATCACAGATGTCACCACATTGAAATTCGAAAAGTCCCGATTAAAAACGGCCGTTGATCGACGATCACATGCGTGTGCTTCACATGACGATTACAAACAGTTCCATTTGGACAAATCGAGGAAATTGAAATTGTATTCCATTGATTTGGAATTGACGATAAGGAAGGAAGGTAAGTTGATTCATGATTCGTTTTTCTCAACGGAGATATAGAATATACATGAAATAACGATCATTTCAGCTGTCACGCATTCTCAATTACACGGTGTGTGGTTATCTTTTTTGAGGTTATCAACTGACAAAGAACGTGTTAAAATACCGGTGAGTTTATAGATTATTAATTTTTTTTTCTTGAAAAAATATAAAACAGGTGAAATTAATGAGAAAAATGTTGTTCCAGTTGCAATGCGTTCGAAGAAGCTCGTCAGTGAGCATTGGGTTGATTTGGGGAAAATGCCCAATGAAAAAATGAATACATGGCATTGCAAGTGGTGTAAGCACAAGAGAAAACATCATAGTACCAGAATGATTGAGCATCTGGCTGAAAATTGTGTACATTGTCCAGAAAATGTGTCAATTTTCTGCAAAAGTCGTCTGAGTAAGAAAGAAAAAAGCACATCGAAAGGCAACAAAAAACGTAAACGTGCTGAGATGTCAGACGATTCCAGTGATGATAGTAGCGATAACGAGAGTATTTCCTCAGCATCATCATCAAAATCCAATGCATCTCAGAGCAGTCAACACTCTGTACCCATTGTGCCCGACAGAGGACCAACTCTTGATGGCTTCTGTGACAAAATTTCAGTGAAAGACCAACTGAAGGCCCAATATCTTCTGGCTTTTGCTATTTTTGCCTCGGGGTCACCATTGAGCCTCACTGAAAATTCATTTTGGATCACGTTCTTTCGATTTTTGCGTCCAAAATTCGAATGTCCCTTCAAATGGATTTTATCAAATGTCCTGTTAGATCAAGTGTACAATGCTGTGAAGACAGAAATCAATCGATGTATTGAGAATGCTAAAACTGTGAATCTTCAGTGTGATGGGTGGACGAATCTTAGGAGTGAAGGGATTGTTAATTTCGGTGTCACAACGCCACTACCTGCTTTTTTTGCCTCAATCATTCCTGGCACTGATTCTGAATCTGGTGAGTGGATTGCTGCAAAACTCATCTCACAAATTAAGAAAATTGGGGCTAGAAAAATCATCTCGGTATGCACGGACAATGCTTCAGCCATGAAAAAAGCGTGGAAAATTGTCGAGGAGGAGTACATCGAGTTAGCTATCGCCGCTGTTGTGTTTGAGAATTCAAAATTATAAAAAGAATTTATTTTCTTTTTGTTTCGAATCGAGCGAATAAATCGCATTGATTTCCCAATTCTCCACACGGCATCATCCACGGAATGCCTTGTCACCAGATATTATTTCGAAATGCCAGTGAATCAGCAGCTCGGCCAATGCACCCGGACATTGACCGAACTGCAGCCTATACCGATTCCGGAATTATTAATCAGTCTCGTCCTAGCTTCATCAAGGAACGTACAAAGGGGCGAACTCCTCGAGATTGATTGATACTTGAATCCGGAATCAGTTAAATTCCCTCTGCCCGGCAGTTATCGTCAACTCGAGTATTTTGGGATTATCATTGATCACAACTACGCACACCTTCGTAGTGATCAATCCCACGTTATTATAAACAATCTAACTCTTCCCGGAGCCGGCAAACGAGGTGCGCAATAACTCGGTCCCGTTCTTCCCAAGTGGAGTTTCGTGCAAGGACACATTCAACCTTTTCATCAATTATTTTTGTTAAAACTACGACGCGGAGATCACTGTCGTGATAAGGATAAGACTACGCAATTGTAAAACGAGTGGATGTATGAGTGTGAGTGTTGAGCGGGGGAGGTGTAAGTAGTTATTGTATTTTGGCCATTGTTATCATTTTCGAGTCTAGTATCATTAAATTGGTTTTCTTTCATTTTCTTTTATTTCCCTGATCCCGAGGACTGAATAGCAAGTGCAGATGTGCCCAGCACTTTAAAGTATAGGTATCCACTAAATAAAAATATTATTTTGTGGCTACTAGGTCGGACTGTGTTTATTTGTAGTAACAAATAAACTCGAATTCGCCCGAACCGCAACACCGCCTTTGGTTGCATTGCACACATTTTGAACCTTCTTATGAAGGATGTAGGAAATTTGTCTTCAGTGAAACTTCTCATTAAATCTGCAAAAACTATTGTAAACATTATTAAAAAATCCAACGTTTTATCAGCTAATTTTGCAAAAATTAAGAAGGACAACCTAGAGAAACAGTTGAGTGACAAATCTCAGGCTCAGACAATCAAAAATCCAGGTGTCACACGATTTGGTTCAATAGTGGTATGTGCAGAGAGTTTGCTAGACAATAAGCACCATCTTCAAGCTCTAGCAATTGCTCCAGAAGTCAAAGACAATTTAGACGAGGAGATCAGCTCTCTCCTCCTTGATAGAACCTTCTGGACGAGGCTGAGAAAATTCAGAGACTTATTGAAACCCGTGACAGACTGAACTCGGAAGCTGCAGGCAGATCAGCCAAGAATCAGCGAAGTTGCTTCTGCTATGAATCAGATCAGAGATCACTTTGAGACACATTTAAATTCATCAAATCGTTTAATTATCGATGAAGATGAGAGGAAGAAACTGTTGAAGTGTCTGAAGAAACGTGAAGATATGGCTCTTCGCCCAATCCACTGGGCTGCTAATTTATTGGATCCAACTGAGAAAGGCAGAACTTTAACTGCTGAACAGCAGGCAGAGGGATCAGAGTATATTTTCAAAATGGCTGGACGACTGGGCTTGAAGGCAGATAAAGTGATGACTGAGTTTATTAATTTCAAAACCAATGAGGGCATCTTCAAGGGTATTAGCCATCAGAAGACAGCAGGATCTGTCTCTCCAGTACAATGGTGGGAAGGACTCTTTTCCAACACTCAATTAAAACAAGTCGCTATTGAAATTCTTAACGTGCCGCCAACAACAGCAGCTACTGAACGTACTTTCAGTACATTTAGTTGGATTCACTCTAAGGAACGCAATCGTTTGGCTGTAAAGAGAGCAACAATGTTGACGTACATTGCCCATAAAATCAGACTGTTCAATGAGGAACAAATGCCACGAATTCTGAAGATGGTAATGTCTGAGGCTCCAGATATAGGCGATAAATATGAGGAGATATTGAGTAGCGAGGAGGAAATCTCTGAACCTGACATGTCCAATGACGAAGAGGAGCAGTGCACTGATACAGACTCTGACTAAATTCATCTGCTCTTGACCATTTTTATTTTACTGCTTAAACGTGAACATAAGACATAAAGTTCGACGTTTTTTATTTGTTTCATGCATTTAAATTGCATGCTTGCGTGCTAGTCTTTTTGTACAAGTATCCCTATGAGAGTGCTGAAGAGAGTATAGTGACTTTCGTTATGTTTGTTTAGTTTATAAAAATATAAACGAGTGACGAGATAAAAATATGAATGATTGAAACTAAAAGACTTTAGCTTTAAGAAGTTATATCACAAATTTATGACACATATAATGTTATATGATGTAAAAGTCATTTGAAAATAAAGTAAATGTGTTCAGATACGAAACAAACGTGAAATTACTGATCATCCAAAAATTGTGACAACAATTTATGACGAAGAAATTTATGACTGTCAGATTACATCTAACTAGTTGATTGTCATATGACAGTTGGCATCATGACTGGAATTCTGACACGAAAAAAATGAGGTCACATGACCGTCATATTTTTGTGACCTGACCGATTTTAAACCGTGACCGTTTCCCACATCCCTGGTGTTACGTATGCTCAATGAGAACTGTTGGTAGTGGAAGGCAAAAAGTGCCGAAATCCAACGAATACGCGATCGGCTCTCAAAATTCTGGTGAAGCACCGGAGAAAGTTACCCGACAGCCCCATAATTTTTCTCGTATTTCAACGTAAAAACTCACGGTCTCTTGCATTTTACCGTGCTGCGCGAGAATTTTTCTCGGCATTTACCCGAAGAAACTGCTGGGGCAACAGTACTTTTTCCCGCTCTTTCCGATACATTTTGCCTGGAAAGACCATCTGAACCCACTTTACCGTGCGAGCACGGTAATTTTTTTTTGTACTTTTTTCTCCATTAGTATTAATCAAAAAAATTATTTGATTGCATTTTTATTTTGCAATAAAACTGTCCAGGAAGACATATTATAAGAAAATCAATTTCACCTTAGCTTTTGAATGTTCCAGTGTTTCAAATGAGATGTCAATGGCCATTAAAAAATCACCTATTTCCTTGAAAAGAACATTTTCTGCTAATGTTATAGCATCAAAAGTTTCCTGAGATGGTTCATGTGGCTGATTTCTCAAATTCAGATTGTATTGATGACGTTGGGAATTGACATGATCTCTGGCAACTTGCAATGTGATCGTCGCAAGGCGTGTAGCGCAGTATTTGCATTTGAGACAAGGATCATTCCCTACGTATTCGATTTGAAACAAATCATCAGGCAAGCCGAGCGCCGCAGTGAATTCATTCCGTTTTTGCTCGGGTGTTCTGGTTCTCCTTGGTATTTTTTTTTTGTATACAGATACGTCAAGACGAAACTTCAAGAGTTGTCTCTGAACGATTATGCAATTGTAATGAAAAGTTCAAGAACTCGCGTTTGATACGATGAAGTTGCAGTGAATGATTCTCTTTTTTCGCGTCGATTGGATCAAACTTATCGACTTATGATACTCATCTAATTGTCATTCTTCTTCATTATTTGTTGTGATCCCATCGAGAGGCAAGAGAAACAAGACGAGACAAGCAAATGACAGTTCTCACTAATTATTTGAATTTTCCTTTTATTTTCCACGTACATAATATCGTAAAGAAAAAAAAACGAAGAAATCTCCTAAAAATCGTTGTTCGATGGCCTAGATTTGGTAAAATATAATAAAAAGCACTTGGATAATTCATGCTAAGGAGTTGTTCTTTTCTTCATTTTTTCCAGCGCAGGAAGGTTGCAGGATTACCCTAGAGAAGTTGTGAAACAATTATAGGATTTATGATCCTGAAGTTATGTGCATATACGTTTTTCATTGATTATCCATTGATTGTCACTGTATTAACTGTAAAAACTCATAGAAAACCCTAAGAAACCATTGATATTTGCGATTGTAGTGTGAGCATCGAGTGGAAAAATAATCCTGCCACTCAGTGAAATTTATTAAGGTGGACCATTTTTTGTATTTGTGGATTTTACTAATTATGCTTGAATACTGAACTAAAAACCATCACCCCTCAATGAATATCAAATAAGCTTGACGAGGATTTATTCATTTGTCCATTTTTCAATAATTAGAATGTGCTGTTACATGTTTGATTTTTTGGGCGAGCATATTTCTTGATGTTTTTCGTTTACAAAACAGAAATTCAATTATATTTGATAATGGTGTCATCCCAGACAAGAGCATTTATTAACAATTTTTTTTAAACCATAATAACCATTTTTTTTATTAATTTTGGAAATTTTGGTCGCGCATAAAAATCGTCCGGTCACTTGAGGATCGTTGTAAGAGAAAGAAGTTCAATCTTTATCCATTTTTCGAGAAGAGCATTTTTCGGGATATTATATTTAGATAATAATGACATTGCATATTGATAAGTCAATAGTTTGCGCGAGTACACCACCACCCATGACCACTATTTCGATATGAAATCTTATCAAAATAACAACCAGACGATTCCTAAGCTGAGCATTTTTTTCTTTTTCTTACATTTTATAATTACAATTACATTTTTCATTATTGAAATTTTTTTTTGCCGTTTTCGAATATACACTTATTTTGACCATGTGAAAAATTATATGTAACTTGGCAGACTTATTCTTGCTGAGTCAAAAAATTTGTGGGATTTGGACTTTGTGGTCCATCGTTTTCAAGAAAACGAACTAGCGCGTCAGCCGATTAATTGAATTAAATTTCCTGTCAATCGTATTTCTTTTTGGGTTTTTACGATTTTTTCCAATCCCACTCTCTGCACGGCATTCGCCATGGACCGCGAAGAAGCCTTACCCTAAGAACAAACCTTTTGACCAGACACACTTGTCTTTTTTACGAAACTCCTGCTGGACAACAATACTGAGAAGTTGGAGACGCCAGAAAATTGGTGCAGCAGCCGGGAATCGAACCCACGACCCTTGCCCCACCAGCACTAACGCTCTAACCACTCGGCCATTGCGATCTTATTTCACTGATGTTTTTTTAGCTTATTAACCAAAAATCAGAGAATGGTCTTCATCAGTAATTGATCAATGTATATAATATAAAACAAGGGAATGAATTTCTTATAATACGGAATTAATTCACGAAAATAACCGAAGACTTGTGAAGACCACTTTTTTTACTGTTAGTTGGAAAAAATGGTTGAAATTTTCTTCAGCCGAATTTTTCATTTGTACTCAAATCAACAGGTGATGCCGCCACTGATGCTTCTCGTGTATTTGTTTTAATATGAAGGAAAATAATGCTATAGAGCTTTTGAAAATCATGGAGAGTTTAATAACACTTACGTCTATTATGAGCGTGAAATCTGGGGACAATTTTTCAGGGACCATAAGCCTAAGGCGATAAATGATGAGCTAATTGCACGCTGTGAATCCGAGTGGAATAGTTCTGACGGAATTTTTTTACCACTCAATATTAGTAACTCTCATTGGGTATGTTTATTTGCAGACGTAAAGGGAAAATGCACATATGTTTTTGATTCAGGCGCAAAGCCTCACACAACTCTTGAATCTCCATTCCATTCTAGGTTTGTTGAAATATGGAATATAGTTTACAATGATAAATCAGACGCACAATGGAAAGCGAAAATCTGTCAATATCCTACTCAACGTGATAATTACAATTGCGGTATTTTCATTCTTTACTTTATGACTCACATATTAAGCAAACATGAT